GCTTTGTCCACATCTATCTACATACTTCTACTGAAAAGCTGATTTTGTTGCACTCCAATCTGCTTTTAATTAATTTATTAAATTTGTTTGAATACAGCAAGCATTTTCAACAAAACAGTGACATAAATCCTGATTTTATTGATCAGAATTGACTAAATTGGGTTCTTTATTCCCCAATTAAAACCTAGAAAATTGCAAAATTTCTTTCAATAATGAAAACCTGCAAAACACTTTTAAATTTCTGGATCTAGATTCATTTGCAGCAATAAATCTGACCACTTTATTTGTTTAATTTAAGTATTCAACGCTTAGCTTATTGTTGAGCAGGTGAAGGAAAACTATTTTTGGCCCTCAGCTCCTTCTGACTGTATGATTTTGGCCCATGTGACAAAATGAATTCACTGATCCAACGCTTTTATGGTCATCCTCCAGATTATTACACAGTCTTATAACTTTTACTGAAGTGCATCTGTCCTTCAAATTTATTCTGATTTTTGGTTTAATAAACATTTTTATTCCCTTCAAATTATAGCAGCTTTCCCTTTTAACAAAATGTGATTGGATGTTTGACGGCAACACATTTCTGTGAGTCATACATAACCTGCAGAATGTTATAATCAACCAACTCATAACATTTTAATAACTTTAACTGATGAAACAATATATTAGATGGGTGATAGTGATGCTTTCTTGTAATAATTCTTATGGCTCTTTTCTCACAGGTGTTGCAGGTGTTCGCCTGCTACAGCAGGCTTCAGCAGGGGAACACCTGCAACACCTGGGTGTTAATCTGCACATTTTAAGCTCTTTTAATTATGTTATCAACTAAATTATAACAAAAATCAGATGTTAGTGGCAGCTTTTTTAAACACTGGCTTCTTGTGCAGATGTCAGCGCTTCTCTGTAACCATATTAAAAGTTTTAATTCAACTCGTTACGAGTGTTACACACGTAGGACGAGTCGTATACACACTCATCACATGTCATACAAGTCCAGGCAAGTTCTCCTCTGACTGACAGTTTCACTCAGGTGCACAGGGGTCACGTCACGTGGTGATCCCAACGTACCAAACACAAAGGCAGAGTGATGGATAACAGGACTTACAGTTACAAGAACACAGTGCAGGTCCAAAGGTTCGCCCCCGCTCTGCTTCCCTCCTCCTCCCAGGATTTCTGCCAGGCGCCTGGTGTTGTTCACCCTCAGGATGTTGATGTCGTTTTCACAGCAGAAGGCCTGGATGAGTGTAAAGTGGATCTGCAGCGCCACGTCTTTAATGTCATCATCGTCCGTGGCCAGAATGCACAGAACCACATTATCAGGGTCTCTGTGGGTCAAACAAACACAGTGAGTCTGGTTTTTAACAACTGTAACCTGCTGCTGAACGTACTGGATTTAAGACCTATCACCCACTGACTATCACGCCACACATTTAGACTAAAACTAAAGCAAAGTCATTGCCTTTAGGTAGGCCACAGGCTGATAATAAACTATCAGATTGTGTCAGAGTTGTAACATCTGTACTCACACATTCAGGGACTTGGCTGCCTCGTAAACACCGACTGTGATGCAGCCCTGTGGCAAGGCAGAGGTCAGGACCTCTTCTAAAGCTTTGACCACCGTATCCATCCTGTAAAACAGATTAAATAAAACTATGACCACTGTATATAACCTGTAACACAGATTAAATAAAACTATGACCACTGTATACAACCTGTAACACAGATTAAATAAAACTATGACCACTGTATATAACCTGTAACACAGATTAAATAAAACTATGACCACTGTATACAACC